CGTTTGAATGCGATGTGGCCTATACAATGACTTGCGGGGGCCAGCCGATGTACAAGTCAGTGTTTTTATCCTCCCAGACAAGTCTGGTACCAATTAACCGACCCCGGAGGGATGGAAGGCTTGGTTGGCCCGGGCGACTCACGACCCAGGATTTGATCCCCGGACCGCTCGCGTGGTAAGCGTGCCACTTGTCCACTACACCACTTCCGCCCTACAGAACAATAATGAATACAACTTCTACTCTGAATAGCACTGCTTAGGCGAGGTTAAAGGCAGACGCCGCGATTCAATCGGTGTGGGTTATCAGACTCGAAGTGGGCGTGGTTGCGGAGTTTGATCTACGAGTAACGAAAAAGTACAAAACTGCTGAAAACTTTGAAACCACATTGTGCGCCGATCGTACGGATGGGGATTGCGCTCCACCTCTACAGGAGTCTTGTTCTCTGGCTTTCACCATATGCTACCTAGCAATAGGAGGACCCGACCAATGGGGTCCGTCTAGCGGTGGTGGGCGCATCTTTGCGCCATGTAGTTCTAAGAATTTTTAGCAGATTTTTTCCGCTTCTCAAAGCCTTGGTGGACCAAATACCACAACTTTATTCATTTCCAGAGACTTAAAGGAAAGGTTCGAAACCAAATTCATGTGATAATTCCATTTGAAAATGAAGGTGAGGATGCGAAGTGGTCTGAAAGTGAAGAAGAGGGTGAAGGAACTCTCCAAGAACTTAGGAAATACGAGCCTCTTTGCTCTACACTGGAGATGTCTGAGAGGCAGACAGCGAGATAGGAGATAATGTGAGTCGCGGAGAAAGGAAAGAAGTCCACATCGAGAGAGCATAGCAGGTCAACGTTACGGCACAGATAAGATATCGAACGGTGGGCGGGCCCTGACAGTTGTGGGATTTGGTCAAAGTCTTCAGCGCCTAGCTTTCTAGTGAACGTGAGCATCTTAACATCAAGGGGCGAAGGTGGTGCGACCTCTGCAGTTGCCCTAGCACCTTGAGCCACGGGAGGGGCTTAGCCAGCAATGCTGGACACGAACCTCGCCTTCAATCAATCGCGGAATGTCAAAAGTAATTGTGTTACTATTTTGCAATCACCCCAAGCCTTTCCATAAAACTGAAGTCAACCTGAGAAATTAGCTATCGAAGTTTTTAGGATTTTCTTTCGAAATCTATGTGATGAATGATCTATGTGAGCTGAGAACTGAATTCGACAAATGTATTGAACGGTTATGAGTGAATTGTGGAGAGTATCATTGAAACTGGGCGGAGCATTGAAACGGGCGGAAGTGGTGCAGTGACAAGTGGCGCGCTCACCACGCGAGCGGTCCGGGATCATCAATCCTGGGTCGTGAGTCGCCCGGGCCAACCAAGCCTTCCATCCCTCCGGGGTCGGTTAATTGGTACCAGACTTGTCTGGGAGGATAAAAACACTGACTTGAACATCGGCTGGCCCCCGCAAGTCATTGTATAGGCCACATCGCATTCAAACGCCACTGCGAATGTACAAATGGAAGTAGAATGCGTGCCGCATCCCAAAAAGGGATTGATCAACGGCAAATGCTTTATCCTTTATCCTTTTATATTGAACTGAAAAGTGAAATTCAAAAAGAAAATTCGAAGCAAACTGACCCATCCGATGGGGCAGTGGACTGCGATCGAGAATCCGGCCTTACAGACACATTCGTAGTCGTTGGCGCCACGTTCGATGCACTGGGCATTCTTGTCGCAGTCATGACGTCCAGATTCACAGAGTTGATTCGCCTGAGAACAGCGTTGTGATTTGAAGAATACTGTATTCTTCTGTTAACCCGAATACGTCTTCAAGGGTTCCTTGTATGACGAATATATGGCACAAGTACAAGTTTGAAACAAAACAAAATAATCAGCTCCGCCTATTCTGGACGAGTTCTCAACACTAGTTTCTTGACCCAGTAGAATCCCATTACCTACACAGTCTAGCATGGGAGCCTTGTTCGGAGATGGCGAGTTGACTAATGATCTTCCTGAGATTTTCCAGAAAGAGCCCAAATAGTATTGCAGTGGCGCTGTTTGACGGCGCCCAACCGGGATCAAATCCATGGTGTGCGTCTTCCAGCTTAACCAAGCCTCTATCCTCGGTGCTCGACTAAATTCGGAATACTTTTGCAGAAACTAGATTGTCCCCCCCCCCGCGAAACTACGCATTAGCATTAGAAAACCTACCCTTTATGCCAATCGATTCGTTACCTTTGTGTTTGCTTTTAATGTTTTAGATGAAACTTACCAGGAAGGTCTTTCAGGGCGTGACGAGCTTTTTGAAAACGGTCTTTTGCATGATATAGGGGCAGATGCGGGGACCACAGAACCATGTTTAATTTTTCCTGAACGGCCCTCTGAATACCAGAAAAGGGGGTCCCTAGTTCGATTCCTCTTGGTGACAAATTTTTGCATTTCGAGTTGACGTTCCAAAATTCGCGCAAAATGGAGTTCTGATTGTTCTGGTTGGTTCTAACTCCATTTTGCGCGAATTTTGGCACGTCAACTCGAAATGCAAAAATTTGTTACCACGAGGAATCGAACTAGGGACCCCTTTTCTGGTATTCAGAGGGCCGTTCAGGAAAAATTGAACATGGTTCTGTGGTTCCCGCATCTGCCCCTATATCATGCAAAAGACCGTTTTCAAAAAGCTTGTCACGCCCTGAAAGACCTTCCTGGTAGCCATTCGGTTGCCGTGCTATTCACAGAAGAGTACAAGCTCTGGGCCCCATTCAGTTTACTGATGTGAAAGTTTCCAGAAGGAAAACACTATTTTAGCTGGATAAGTTCAAAAATAATTAGCCAAAAAAGTTTTAAACCATTCATAGTACCCTCTTACTCATTAGCAATAGAAACGTTACAGCAATAAGGCGTTCCCTAGAAATGCCCCCCCCCGGGGACGTAGAGGCCAAAAACGGTGTTAAATTCGTCACGTGCTTCCCCGACTAAACCCGTTCAACATTTCGCTAATGTGCTTTCATAAGATGTGACATGCCTTCAACTGCATTACGTTTCCCAGTTTTTAATTGGTAGTCACACAGCGAAACCGGTGGCACACGGCTGCCATCAAACGCTTTTTGATGACTTATCGATTTGATTAGAGAATTCGCCAAAGAAAACGCAAATGTGTGGCGCAAATGATATGTTAGTTAAGCTTTTCTAATAAACAGAAGAGAATGATACCATTCAGCTACCTAACTATATCATTATAGCACAGATTCTGAATTTTGAGCGAAATTCTGTGCCTTGACCGGGAACCAACCTAAACCTCTGATAAGAAGCGATATAAGATCCAATATAAGAGCAATCATACATATCACTTCACATCACATCTTAGGAGCAAATAAGAAGGGCTAGAATCCGGAAAAATGAAAACACTTTATGCCCTCTGGTATCTCTCGCCGCCTGCCACAGAATTTGTCAAATCTGAAAACAAAAATAATATGTTTTACGCCGCTTAATGGCTTGCCAACGATGCCCTCAATTTCGATAGAGTCTAGAAGTGAAATAATGAAAAATAACCTATTAGAATGTATTCTGAACAAGTACGAAGGTTTTGTTTCACCTTCCACTATAGAATCTAACTCTGAATCAACTCAGGCATCAGTATATTTTGAATTCCAACTATAGGCTCGCGGAAAGTTCTCCGAACTTAAAGACTACGACCTAAAGATAAATAAATCTACTATCTACTTGGAATTCGCCACACTCATAGGTTAATTACGTGGGATGAGACACCAATCCGGCATTTATCCTGAATAGGAGTCGGAAACTCTACCGCCAAAGAATGAAAGCTATCCAACACTGAAAAGATATAAATGGAAGTAGGAGGCCAAGAAATGTACTCTCCCCAAATTCGGTCCGTTAGACGGGCGACAGGAGTTGGTGAGCTTTCAAGTCCTCAGATCCTCTTTGAGCTCGCATCGGGAGACTTCATATCTTGAATGATTACAACGGCAGTGGAAAATGCCTTGCTCACATGAGGAACACTTCCTCGGGAAAACGTTCTATCCGTAGATTTGCGATGAACCTATGGCATAACCTTCCTGGCCGAGGTCATGCAATAGCAGGAATCAGCAAGGAGTAATCTCACCTTTGCCGACAACACGTCCGGAATATCCTCACGCTCGTCATGTCCACTAGCCCTCTTTGTCACTGCCCATTTTGTATGCGTCACGTATATCGGCAAAAATTCCTTCAAATCAAGGCCCACCAATTTCAAAAATCTACTTGAACAATTCTAATATATTTGTACTACTTACTGCTAGTTATAGAATTTACAGAATTCAGTACCTTATGAGTAAAACACCAACTCGACCTATTTCGGAACACGCTGCGAATTTTCTAATTATATGTTCTACATGTACTATCTACATATTTGTCTTGCCTAGAGTTTCTTGTTTAGAGGAACTTTTAGAAGGCTGTTTGGAATTTTGAATCCAGAAAAACCAGTGATAACCAGTAGGTAACCAGTTACCTATGCAAATGGCGTGTTCATGGCAGTTGTTGGGTTTTCGAAGCACATTCGTCGACTAATGCGCGGCAGTCCAAACCGGCAAAAACTTTCATGTTTGGCGAGACATCCACGAATGACTCCTTACATCTGAAATGACGTCACTTATGATTATTTGCGATTTGAAGCATTAGAATGCGTGAAGAAATCTATAGGAGGTGGAAAAGGGTAATGTTTCGAAAATATTTCTGAATTAGTGGCTTTACTCCACAATTGCGCCCTCAAACTATACTTTTTTTTTAGCCCATCGCGGACTGCCTTTATGGGAGCACCCACGTCTGCTGTATCAATAAGCAATAATCTATGACCAATTCTATCAGGACTATCAAGATTTAAATATATGGTATTTTGTGCCAAAAAAACTACGGAGTCTGTCTAAATTAATCTAATAATTTGGATAAATCAAAATAAACCATCCTCCCTGGCGGTGTGCTGTGCCAATGGGTGATTACGGTGATTAGAAGTTAGTGAATTGATGAAAGCAATTGGGCCACAGATGTCACACTCCTTACCTGCAGAGGAAACCATCGGCTAGATCGAATGCAGTCGGCGTTTACCGAACAGTTGTGGCTCTTCTCCTCGCATTCGTTGCGAACTGCAAGGGAAAATGTTATCTATCAAAGAACTTCGATAAACAATTCGGAATTAGGAAGTAATCTGGCTGAACGTGGTAACATGGGATAAATGTGTAGAATTCTCTAACAGGGTCAACCGTCGAGTTCGCACTTTCTAGAAAATTCGCGACCCCCCCCCTCTCCTTTAAAACGGTCTTGATGTAACGCTTCACAACACCATAGGTCTTGAGAGACTCCCCAACACGTCCCCTCTCTCTCCTATCCAGCCCGCCGCACCGCCAACGATCCAACTCCGCCCCTTGTCGTTCGAGAGGTGGGGGGGGGAGGAGGTGAACTACCATTATGAAGAGGCAAATCCATACATTTTGTCTAGTTTCCCTTACCTCCTCGCAAAATTCGTCGAAAACCCGTCGGATGCAACTCCTTTCTTACAACCCCCAATTCCCACTTTCCCAGAGGAGTAAAGCTTGCTCAACCCCAAAATGCTACCCCCTTCTCAAAACTGCAATGCATCCTCCTCGTTCGAATAGTGCAAGCGGACTGTTGACCGTGGTTTCGGAATTGCTGATAATTGCGGAATTGTGGAATTGCTGCGGAACTACAGAGAAAAGAGTAGAGTATTCTTTGAGGAACGTCACTTTTGGTTTTATCCGTATTTAAAAAGCCCCGGAAACCGAGAAGCCACGGCAGTTTGAAACTGCCTCTAATGCACAAATAATTCGGGAGAACCCCTCTGAAAAGTCAGAAAAAAGTTAATCTGTGAAAATCAAAAAGACGTCGAGATGAATAATTGGGAAAAACCTACGTTGTGTACAGACTCGTCCAGGCTTCTTTGTCTGATCGGGAGATTTGTCAAGGAAACCGCTGTTGCACGTGCAAATGTACGATTCGTCTGTGTCTGTGCATCGTGCGTTCGGGTCGCAGTCATGAGTACCAGCGGAACACTCGTCAATTACTGAAATATTTTTACTCAATCCCAGAGTGGTCATACACTTTTCAAGCAGTACGAAAGGCATTAGACTTATTGATTGATTTTGGATGTGATTTTTGATAATGTTCCTTTTTTTCTAGGAGTAAAGCAGGTAATAGCCGCGTACAAAACAGATGCAATTGAAGCAGTTTCAGACTCGGAAAATGCCCGTCAAGTGGCTCCATCCGCGAATTCTGAACGCAGCTTCGAAAATCCAAGTTCACTGCATAAGCGCTTGAATGAAAAAAGCCATTTTCCGGGTCGACAGAAAGTTATCAGATAGAAAGTCTTATATACAAATCGTCATCCAAACTTGAAATCAAATGGCCAAGGGGAACTCACAGCAAATTTCGGTAACGTTGTGTCTCTTGTAGAATTGGCTGGTGTCGCATTGGCAAGTGTATTCACCACTGAAATTGTTTGGATTTTATCGATTTCTCATTTTGTCATTTCTTCTTGAAAGAGTAAGTCAAGTATTGGTAGCGCGTCGCACATATGTCTTCTGTGCTCAATTCCCAATATTTCCTCCAGTCATATCCTGGAGGCGCTCCTTAAATACACACTGAGGCAAAAAAAGAGTTCCTTCGCCGATGGTTCACATCAGAAAGCATTTCGTCGCACAGGCTGCAGCCGTTGATGGACG